ATTTCTAAAGTAAAATGGATACTGCCATCTAAATCCTAAATTATTAAAATATTAACAATTGCAGTTTTCCATATCTCTGTACAAAATCCTCTTTGCAAACACAAAACAATTTCTAGTCATAATAAAGAGAAAATAACTGGCTATTTAGAAAAAAATCTGCCCTATGTCATCTAGTGAGCACCTTCCCTTGGATATGGAGCCTTCATATTTGGATCCTGTTTGGCATGCACATCTACAGTCTAACATAGCCACCTGTACAGGTAAAGACATGTTGCATACTGCACATGTCATCTAAAACAAGACAGAGGTTTTTTTTATAGAAAGCAAATTAAAGTGAATTGAGCTTCTGAAGTGACTGAATTCCTGCAGGCAATGGGTAAAATTTTCAGAAGTGCTTAAGTCTCATGTTTAAAAGAGACGTAGGCACTCAAATCTCACCAGTGAGAATTAGGCTCCTACATTACTTTGACACTTCTGAAAATTTTACCCAATGAGAAAGTTCTTTCCTTCTGGGGCTGCTTTAATAAAAATTCCATGGCTACTGAATGAATAAGGCCTTTTCTTGCTCCTCTCTTCACTGTGAAACTAATGGAGGGAGATGTCTCTGTTATTAATATCTTCACTGTTTCAAAGCAGGAGAAATAGAAAGAATTGAGGAAATTAAATTACAAAGTAAAATACATAAAATGATGTAGGAAAGCTGAAATATAGCACCTAGATGACTTGTCAGTGACAATCTCATCATGTAGTGGGCCACGTTGATCTCTGATGTAACTTCATTGAAGTTATACTAAGAATGAATTTGACCTGATCTCCCTTGAGAAATATGCAATGTTTATAAAGGATAAAGTTGTTCATGGATGCCCTTGCATGGATGCACAGTGAGGAGGAAAGGCCCTTCATTTTGCATGCCCCATACAAGATCTAGGCAATTGCAGTCCTCACTACTCTCCCCGGGGCAGGGAGGGAGGGACTGGGAAAAGACCAGGCCTTGGCTCTTGCAGCACAATTATTTACAGAATGAGACCAGTGAAGCACAGGAATTCAGTTGCACCCCACCAAAAGGCTGCAATAGTGGTCTTGCCAACTGTTTCCTCCCCCCAACTCAAGTGCTGGAGATCATGTCCCTACTACTTCCGACACTCTGATATTAAATCCACTGCTGATTAATTAAGCTAGCAACCAATAGCAATCAGTCCCCAGCTAGCTCAGGAAATAAATGTGTTTTTGTATTGATCCTAAAGGACCAATTTTGACTTTTCCATTGCGAATGAGTACTAGAGATGAATTGTCCTCCTCCAAGAAGGTCTTGTTGTCCCCAAATAGCTCAATCCTGGCGACAGACAGCAAGGACCTCCTATTGACTTCAGTGAGCATTCTCCAAGAGCATTCCAACCAGTCATAAAGTCCATCTCTGTATACAGGGGTTGTGGTTTCAGAGATGTAGACTCTTTCTTCTCAGTATACAATAGCTCTGTAATGGTATATTTTCTAGGAACAAAGGATTTGCCATCCTGGATTAAACTACTGGACTGGACTGCTATTTCAGATTGAAGTAGAAATTCAGTAATGGCCTGTGGATTAGTTTATAGTTCTTTGAAGAAATAAGTAGGGAAAAATTACTCTTTCCATGAGTGAATCCTCCCACTGGAACTTATTGCAAAGAACTCTATCTTTCTGACCATTTACATGAGCTTTTTTAATAGATATGCTACAGGATAGAAAATTGTAAGAAATAAATCTCATTTGGCTTCCTCTGGAAGCTCCTATCTTTCTAAGATTGCTTTTGTAGCAGAGTTGTCACAGGATATTTTGTATTATTAGCAATTTCAGTTTGAATTTTGCCTAGGGCATTGCTGGCTACAGTGTGTTTAGACAAGATAATTTCTTCAAATGCTGAATAAGATGTAATGCAAAAATGAATCCCAAGAGTGGAATGGCTGATACTATATTTTTCTCCGTTTTCTCTTTTTTTGGTTAGGGCTGGTTGGTCAAGACATTTCTGTTATACTAAAGGCTGCAAGGGATGTCATGTTACTCTTTCCAATGAATTTCAATGTGCCTGTGCTAGCAAAAGTGTTTACAAAATAAGAACTTTGCTATAGCCATTATTTTCTGCCAGAAATGCATATAATTTTCCACTTCACAGTGTGGTTCCAAAATGAGAGAGAATTCACTGAAGACCCAGTGTTCTTTAGAAACACTTTGATCTTTCCAAGCATCCGAGTTGGTCTTAGCATTCTTAAATAGATTTGCTAAGCGACATTGGCCATCTTCTCCTGAGCATACCCAACTGCTGTATCCCATGATCACACCACTATGAATGAAACCAGCCTGAAGATTTTGGGGGAGGAGGATCAGATTCTCCTTTAAGGAGAATAAGAATGATGATTCTTTTGGACACACCCCAAAATGAATGAATTTTGCTTAACTTAGAATGTGTGTGTGGTGGAAGAGAAGAAGAGATTTCTCTAACCCTTCTCCCCTTTCACCAGCCCAAGAAAGAAAAAAGCTGGAGATTCACTTTAGTAAAAAACAGAAAGCTGAGCTTCTCCCTTACATGTCTACCTCCCCCAAATCAGGATGGCCCAAGGCTTCATAGGCGCCAAAGGCCACCTCTGAGTCATGAAAAATCCCAAAGTCACCAAAGCAAGGGCAGGCTGGTGTAGATGTTTTTTGAATGGTGGTGGAAATGGACAGGCCAACCTTCTCCCACACCATGGAGGAGCCCTACAAATCAGACAATAATTTATGTAAATATAGATTCTGCTTTTTTTTTTTACTCCACAAGATGCTGGCTGATATGGAATTTGGCATTTTAATCCCAGTCCTGCAAGCTGCTCCATGTGACTGGACTTCTGCACCAGCACAGAACCCCATGTTGGATGTGTTCTCCTAGGCCTTTAATACACTAAACTAGACAGGCCACCTTTATCTGAAATAATTCAGATGGATTAGAAATTACTTTATTTGAACAGATTCAGCCCACCTGTTCGGTGTATAGTGATTTATGCTCCCACTGAAGTCATTTAGAGTCAAAATTATATTTTTAATGCAGCAAAGAGACACTACCAGGGCACAGAGTCAGATAATTGATTTCAGTGGGACTATCCCAAGCATAAAGTACTATTTATTGTTAATAATAGTGTCAGGAATATCCTTATTATTTTCTTTCTTGACATGAGCCTCACTGAATGAGTTTGATACAGCTTAAGAAATTTAAATATAATGGAATGAAATATGTTAGCTAGGTTCTCTTTTTTGTCATATTGTATTTCAGTCACTATCACACATGAAATACACAGACTGCAGATAGTATTTAAGGTTTTATGCTAAGTGTCATTGTTTTATTACTGTATTATATTCTGTTTGTCTGGTATAAGTGCTGGAACTAGGAGTGTTGGGGGCCTGAAGTCTATTCCATCATCTAGGGTTTACACTTAAGTTAAATAGCACTCAGCACCTCCTCTGGACTAATTGTTCCAGCACCCCTGCTGTTGTGTGGTAGGGTGTATTTTGTCAAATGAATACATGATTTAAAGCTATCCTTTAGCCAGAATAGGTATAATTAGATGTTTTAGGTAAGAGTATGAAGGTTTGTTTGTGATGCATATTTTTAGCGTCAGTGTTCTTGTTTGTTAGAGCAAGTCCCATGCCATGACTGAGTATTGGTCTGGATATAAAGACACTTCCACAGCGATGAGCGAGGGGTCACTAATTTCTCCTTTGACCGGTTCTGGTAACACTACTGGCATAGAGCATTTCAAATAAAACAACGTGGCATTAGCTGCTGAGTCAATGTGGCGTGCCGGTTAAACTTCCGATGCTGCTGGATCCAGTACAAAGTGAGGTGCTTTCTGCCAATGTCCAGTGGCTGCAGCAGCTCCCATTTTCCCACTTCCCAGCAGCACCTGGCCGAACACAGTGGCGCTTCAGGGTACACCTAAAATCTGACCGGAAACATTTCAGCAAGGGAAGGAAAACAAGAGCTCAAAGAGCAGAGGTGCATCTCCAGTGCGCAGAGTTAGCATCTCCAAAGAACAGCTGCTTTCCTCTGCCATGGGCTCCTCTGAGCCGCCCTGCCCCATGTACACGGCAGCCTTTTGGAAAAGCGGGGACCTGTTGCTGCTAGTTCGTGTGTCTGAGCAGGAATGTCTCTGCCTTGGAACAACAACAACAAAAAAGGGGGGGGGGGGGAGTTATGAGCAACTGCAGCCCGCAGGCCCCTTTCTCGCCCCTTCCGCTGCTGAGAGCTGGGGCAGGCTTGGATCCCAGCCCCCGGAGGCTAGTTGCCTTTGCAATTAACCGCGTCTGTTCGGCTCTTGGCTCCTTTTAATGAAGCTTCGGGTTTTGAGGAAGGGAAGCAATTTACTGGAGGGGGGTTGGGAACTGCTCCGCGGGAGGCAGATCGGGCTGCACCTGAGCTACCTACAGCTGTCTCGGGCCAGGGCAAAGGGGGCAGGCAGACCTGAGCTGTTGGAAACCCAATCTTGGCACTTGGGAATGACCACGTCAGCTTCGCTTTCAGCCACCGCAGATCACAGCGAGCGAGGCCGCCTGCTGCAGGGGAAGAGGCAAGCGAGCCGTGAGATGCTGATGCTGGAGACAGATTTAACCCCAAGTGCCTCTGGCTGAGGCCATGGCATAGAAAATCTGGCACTGTAAGAGACTGGGAAAAGCTCATCTCCTAGCGTCCCGCGCCCTGCTTGTGTTGCACTGGGAGCCAGCCAGAGCCCGAAAGCTGGCAGAGGTGGAAAGGAACGGGGGGGACTAGGAGGTGAGGGAGCAAGGATGTCCGGGACCCAGACTCAGGGCGCTTAATTGTAACGGGACGTAAATATGTGGCATCTTTGATCAGTTGGATTTCTGTTCCAGATGAAAGGGGGCACACGGGGGTGGGGAGGAAGGGGGAGACCAGGTAGCACAGACAGGGATGATGGAGCACTATATATATATATATATATCATCTGTTAATATCGTTAGCGTCTATATAGCTCACTGCAGAGGACGTTAAAAGAGCTGCATTTTGCTGGCTAGGCGCTGCTAACGAACAGCTGGGACCATTGCTCGGAGTGTGTTTCTTCTTTGGTAACCGCTCAGACTGTGCACCCACACAAACTCCCACTCCTCTCCGTGCTCTCCGTGGGGCTGAGGGTGGCAGAGACATTGTCAGTGGGGTGGGAATTTGGCAGGACCCGTTACTGAACCCCAGCGCCCCTGCCTGTCCCGCTGCAAAACCCATTGCAAAAACCGAGGGAGGAGAACACACTGGAAGCCCGAGTCCTGGCTGGCGTTACTGCCTGAGACAGAAGCAGGCTCATCTGGAAACGAATTCTGCTTTGAACAGATGCAGGCGAGGTGCTGCTGGGGCTGGTTGCCAGCCTGTGCCAGGCGGCGGGAAGCAGGGCACCTACCCCAGTGGTTTATTGGTGGGGGGGCTGGGCTGGCTGCCGGTGGCGGATCAGGGGTCTGAGGTGCGGTAGTGCGGGCACGCATGGGGATCTGGATCTGATGGGGTCGGTAGGAGCGTCCGGCTTGTGCTGCTACAGTGTGGGATCCTGGGGAGCAAACCCACACCAGGCTCCAGGCCGATCCAGCTCTTCCCTGTCGCACTCGCTGCTTCCCCTTCCCCACCCACCGTGAGCCGGGCAGGGCACGAGGTATCGCAGGACCTGGACAGCTCCTGCTTTGAAAGCAGCTTCCCGGCGGCAGCTCGAAAGCTCCCGAGCAGGTTGGCAGCTCCCCGCACCCCCCACCCCAACGTGGAAGCCAAACCAGACAGCGAGTCAGATTTTCCTTTTTAAAGCCTCAAAGTGGCCACGTCCTCACGAAGAATGGAACCAATTTGCCCCCCCCCCCCCCCCCCCCAGCCCTCTGCCCCGCCCTCGCTCCAGCCCGCCAGCTGCTGCCAAAGCTGCCGGGGCAGGTCGGAGATAAGGAGCACGTGACGGCCTGGGAGCCTCGCGGGGCCCCCAGGGCTGCTGCTCCGCCATTGGCTGCGAGGCGTTCGGGGACCCGCCAGCCCAGGGAACCTCCTGCCGTATAAATACGGCCGAGCGGGGCTTTATTATTTTAGCATCCCGGGCAGCAGGTTTCTGCTAAGTTTGGAGTTACTCGCCACGACTGTATGCCTGCGTCCCATAGGTAATATCTAACCACCGACCAGGGGCTCTGCAACACAAGGAGTCTGCATGTCTAGCAACTAGACATGCTCAGCTTTGTGGATACACGGATTTTGTTGCTGCTCGCAGTAACTTCATACCTAGCAACATGTCAATGTAAGTGCTTTCAGCTTGTTTGCGGTGTGGGGAGGTCTGTTTGGGGGGAGGGGTGTCCTAGACTCCCCACTCGCCCTAGACTTCTTGTCCTTTGAGGGTGAGGAGGGGGTCGGGGGTCTGTCAGTGTGGAGCTATACAGCCAGCATCTAATGTCATTGCCACTGAGCCAGTTCGGATTTTAACTTTTTTTAAAAGCCCCCCCCAAAAAAACCCCGCTCTTTTTCTGTCTGAGGATGGCAGGAGGCCAAGGAGCTCCCCCTTTCTTCCTAAAGAGGATGGGTTGTTTTCCATGGAGAATTGAAAGTCTTCATTTGTGAGCAGATGCTTCAACTCCTAGCAGGGGGATATTTATAGGAGGCAGAGCTATCTTCCTAGCTGCAGTATAATTATACTTGTGTAGCACTTCAGACTAACTTTTTAAAAGGTCCGTGAGGGGGAGGGATTGGAAAGCAACAGCTTACCCTCTCCTTGCAAGAACAGTAACGTTTAGGGCGTTGTACATCTTTGTCTGGGCTGCTGCTGCTGGCTTCTGTCCAAGTGGCGCCCTCTGGAGGGAGGAAACGAGTAGTGCAGGGCACCCCGTCTCAAAGTCTGTGGAGTGGGGATGGATTTACTCTGGAAAAGAATGGAGAATGTCTCGGTTGATTAGATACAGCCCCAAAAGGAGAAGTTATTAAAGTTCAGATCTCTCGGGGGTTGGCTGGTTGTTTTCTAGAAAAGTTAAAATCATACATTTGGAGAGAGAAAGAAAACAATTGTTTGGAAAAAAAAATCTGACAATGTGAAAAAATGTTTCTTGAGCTCATCTGTAAAAAGTGAACTAATATTCCTAGTATTGCCTTATGGAGACGCTGAGCTCTTCTCTTGCACACTCACTTAGCTCAGGAATAGTGACCCCTTCCGGTAAACTTTCAAACCAGACGTTAGAGGTCTTCACAAGTCTTGTCTCTTAACTGAATGAGAAATTCAAGAGTCCCTTTGCTTTAATGCAACATTTGAAATTCATTTGCACACCTAACACTTGTTTCTTTAAATGACTTTCTATAAAAATGAGCTGCGCATAGAGCCCATGTGGAAGCATCTCTAGACAAGTGATCTAACTGGCTAAATACATCTGTGCCAGCTGTATTCCTTCAAATGGCACATGGGTGCCATAAGTAAGCTTTTGAACACAATATTCCCATAAATTTCCCCTAAAATATCCAATATGTTACACACAAGCAAACTCTGTTCTACAGATGATGCTTTTACTCAATGACATCCTTTCTGACAGATGGTTGATCTGTCAAGATCATTAAGTCAGCAATGACTTTGCGATGATGACCAGTGTTGAATAACTGATTGTCCAGAGCACAGAAAGGGATCTAAAGATGTAAAAAGTTATCATTGTAGTATCTTTATGACCATACTGGCTTCCTCTCTTCCACTATCTACTTATTATCAATTTGACCCTTCCAATTCCCTGGTTGAGGCTAAACATAGACATTTTTCTCCCTCTGGTGGTAAGAAGAAATAGCAACACATTTTGCAAATCCAGTAACATTTTAAGAGAGAAAGAGACCTTCCAAAAACAAAGGGGATTCATGGGGGGATCCCGTTATGTCAGTCAACCCTAAACTTAAGAACATATGACCTTTTCCAAAAGGATAATAAGGAGAGAATTTATCTTGAAATAATTATCATTTAACACCCAAAATTTTACATTTTTAGAATTCAGTTTGGTATTTGGGAGCACACCAAACTGATGTTTTAGTAATATGTTTTACATATCAATATTCTGTATATTGGATTATACCAGTCATCTTTCTGTTAAACTGTATCAACCACTGGCATTGGTCTTGATCCTAATAAATTGCCAAACTGAAAATTTAAGAGATGCAAACCCAATTTTTAAACATATCAATTCAGTGCTGTCAAAATATAGTGTAAAATACAGATTAACGTGCTCAATTTTGAGCCAGAATAGACACTTTTTGACTGAATTGCTTGCAGATTGTAAAAATTAAATAAAATGAGAAAAACATAATTTTCTAGATTTTTTTATTTTGGGGATTTAAAGCACTAAAAAGCAGTGAGAACCCTTTGAACAATTTGTTATGTAGTACTAAATATCAAAAGTGTCCATAAAGAGAGTTATTTATCATTTAATGGCTAATCTAATTACTTTCCTATACAATGTATCTGTAGTCATTGTGCTTAGAATTCTCATATCAGAAATATTGGTGAGTTGAAGTAGCCCCCTCCCCCAACTTCATAAAAATGAGCTTGGAGCCATTTACAAGAAAATGGAAAATTATTCCTTTCAATCAAGATCTTTGCATGCATCAGTGTTGCTGGATTTGTCCCTCTGTCTGTCTCTATGTCTCTCTCACACACACAGAGACTTGCTCTCCTCTCCTTCTCCTCCTCTCCCCCTCACCGCCCTCCCCTAGGCCCAATCGTTATTTTGATGGGAGATTTTCCTGAGAAAGCGCTGCAGGATCAGGTCTACATAGTACATCCAAGTCTTACAATATAAAATATAGCTCTGTATTTAATTTCCTTAGTCAATCTGTTTCTCCACATAAAATCTCAATAATTACTACTGTAAACTAACATTTTAATAATATTAATTAAATGTTGGGGTATTTTACAAGCATTGAAATGTAAGCTTTTTAAAGTTATTGTAACCTACAATCGATTTTTTTCTTCTTTTTCCTTCTTTTTCCAGCAAATGAGGTCAGTATAATTTCATTCAATATACGATATTCACCCTTAACTAACTAGCTAGGCACCTTTTTTCTTCAGAATTGGCATTCACTTACCTTAATTCCCAAGATGATCATGGAAAAGCTAGCAATCATTAAGTGCTATAGGGACTGTCTAGAAATGTGCCCACCCCAATTTCCAAATGGGCAGGGCTTTTTTAAGAGACTGCCTTCGTAGGTGAAAATAATATAAAGAGGAAATAACATAGCGGTGACATTTGGATATTATACATGGCCCTTGGGTTGGAGATTATTATACTTTAAAGCTTAAGTATCTCTATAAACGTCATTTCATCAAAAGGATTATGAATGAATTCAGGTGTGCTTTTATTTATACCTTATTTGCATGCTGTGGTAAATATAAACTAGCCAATTTTATATGTAAGTTTTTAACAGATAGCTGTATGCATTAATAATCTAACATAATGTGTACTATATACATAATTCCTCCTAGACTTTAGAGCAATTTCACAAATATAGTCATTTATTTATATATATATATAACTTGATTTAAGAGGCTGAATCTCTGTGTTTGTACATTATAGTAATTTAATAGGATTTGGGATGGAACTGTTATTAATTTCAGTTTTGTTATAATTCATTCCTTTTAGGCAACTACACGGCGGAGGGTAAGCATTGTTATTATTATTTATTAATGTTTGTTTAAGTATTTTGATAACATGACATTTTCACAGGCAAACTAACATTTTGTTGGACATAGGTTGAAAGGAAACATATTTAAGCTGTTTTTCAGACACTTGACCAATTTAGCACTTAAATTATTAGACAGTAAAAAGACGAAAACAGCAGTTGGGCTATATTTACACCAGTGTAAACATGGATTCTGGATTTACACTGGTTTACCTGAGAGCAGAATTGTGCACACAGAGAACTAAGTTATATTTAGGAAAGCATTCTTGAGAACATTTCAAAAAGCAATTGATGACAAATACACATTTTACACAACAGTGATGCCTATTCAGGTCTATAATGACAGAGAAAATACATGTTGTTTTTAGAAATAAATAACATATTAGTGTTAATTATTCAGTGTGGAGTAAAACAAAAATCAACTTTACATGGATGTGTTTCCACAGACTAGTCTGTGCTTATCTAACTAAAATATTGTTGTAGTCTACTCCTCCTTCTCAATAATTTATAGTTACTTTGATAGATATAACTGATCTTTTCCCTACAAGTGACATATATAATATAGTAGTTTTGTCACACTTTCACAAATTGATTATTCTAAGCAATACAATTTGTTTATATGTGTTCATATATTTTGCTGGAGGACTGCACAGCAAATTGCATTGTTTTCTTTTTCTTCCTGCAGGGTCCCAGAGGAGACAAAGGGCCACCAGGAGAAAGGGTAAGGAACCACAATTGTTGTTCAACTATTTTTGTTATAACAATTGTCTTTGGAGGAACAATAGGAAAGAACCAACCATATTAAAGCACAAGTAATGAAATAAATTCACTTCTGAGAGTTTTGTGTACACACTTTTATAAAAAGATATACTGCATGGCAGACCAAATTTTGCCCTGGGTGACACTTGTGCAGCCTGGTTAAGGTGCCTCGGGCTGCCCAGGTGTGAGTTCAGAACTTGGCCTAGTACCTTTAGTCAATAGTCTGAAGAATAATTTCCAACTGTACACAGTGGAGGCAGGTGACATGAAAATGGAGAAGAAAAGCTGACATGGAAAGGTGCAGACTCAGAGCTGGTTCAAAGCATTGGATAAAGATAAAACTATGTAGAACACTAAGCAGAATAGACAAAGCCTGCCCTGAGAAGCTTTCACTTATTGTAAATCAAATATATATGGCTTGAAAAAACTTGTAGGCAAATGTATGCTGTGTATATTCTACTGGTCTACTGAGAAGGAGGTGTTCATTAGTGGATTTTGTTTATGTAACTGTAAATGAAGATAGTTACATATCTAATTACAACTTTCACATACTCATATTATTTACATTCATTTTCTTTTTCTGGCTTGCTTTGGTGTCACACAGCAGTTTTTTTGGGAGGCATATTTTTTATCTTCACAAGGTGCAGTAGTGATGGCTGTGATTTTGCATCATTTTATATCATGGAAATGCCATGATATGGTGTATATTTTGTGTAACGATCACTTACAAGCTTTAAAGCCTACACTGTAAACCATCAAGAAGAATACATATACTTGGGGCTGTATATTTGCTTTTCACTACTTATTTCTACCTAAATCCATTTAAAAATTATTTTCCCTATTGTAACAATATATAGATTGTGTGTGTGTACGGTGGTCCCAATCTTGCTCCAGCTGAAGTCAATGGGAGTTTTACCGCTGATTTCATTTGGAGAACGATTTGGGCCCAAAATACAGAGTAAGCTAAATGCTGTCCTCAATCACACCTGTGACTGAAGGCACAGTGTAGCGAGGTTGCATGGGTGTAACTGAGGACAGATTTGGCTCACAGTTTGGTTGTGTATATGCAGTTTCAAGCAATTATAGCAAATGAAGAGTATCATCAATTGCGGTAGAGGGACAGAACAGAAAATCTTTATAGCACTCTGTTTTGCTTCTGTTATCAGATTTGTTACTATATTGGGCCAGATCCACAGCTCATGTAAATTGGCCTCATTGCGTTGAGTGTAATGAAGCTATGCTGATTTACACTAGTGGAGGGTTCTGCCCAGCGAGCATCTGCTGACTTCCCCCCAGTTTTCAGAGGCAATTTTGTACACCCAGTCATTTGTGTCCACAGTTGTTGCATTCCCAGTTATTTGTACCTGCAGAAGACTTAATTTGTGACATTTGGGCACAAATGATTATGCCAGTATCTGCTGCCCATACTCACTTTGAATATCCCCTTAGTGCTACTTAGTATGAATAAGGATGGCAGAATCTGGCCTCGTGTGTGCAAATTGTGGGTACAAGATTTGACAGTACTTCAAAATTGAACACCCCAATTTAGCAGCCACTTTTGAGAGCATGGATCTAATAAAATCTCCAAAGAGCCTCAATGCTCTAAAACATAGTAAATGTACTGTTAGGGTGAAATAACATGGCAGTGGAAGTTCAGACTGTGCTAACTTTTTAGAAGTTAACAGTCAGCTGAAGTTGCATATATGGGAATGTTGGAGCGTACGTCCTAGCTTCTTTCTTACTTATGATTTCACAAGTTCAGAGTCTTCTTCAACTACTCCTAACATTCACTTCATTTTCATCTTTTTGACTCTAGGGTCTACCAGGTGTACCCGGCATAGATGGTGAAGATGGTCCACCAGGGCCACCAGGCCTCCCTGGTCCTCCAGGTCTTGGCGGAGTAAGACATCCAAATTTTCATTACTGAAACTGATCATCCATGCATTGTAGCATCTGATGATTAAATATACATATATCAGAAAATAAAGGCATTTCACTTTAGAATAGGATAAAACATTCTGTTGGGCTTGGAATGGGATGGGATTCTTCATTCCATTTCACTGAAATGTTCTTCAAGGGGTATATTTGGGATGATGAATTTGGGACCCATATAAATGTCAGTTGGGTGCTTAGCACATGCATGAAGGGGAGAATTAACTCCTTGATTCCCTAATGCTATTTTTTTTTCTTGTCTGAACATCTCAGAACTGTGCACCCATAACATATTTTTGTTATTCAGGAATTAACTAAATGAAATCCATACTGATTAAGCTCATGGGCAAACAAGACAGCACTTTTTGCTGTTGGCTTCAGATGAGGGGAAGTTAGTATTGAAACCAAGTGTAGTAATAATATAAAATATATAAAATATAAATAAAATAAAAATGTAGTAAACATACTGTTATGGTGAAACAACATGGCAATGGAAGTTCAGACTGTGCTAACTTTTTAGATGTTAACAGTCAGTGCTGAAGTTGCATATATGGGAATGTTGGAGAGTATGTCCTAGCTTCTTTCTTACTTACTAGCAAATAAACTACATCTTTCTTCCCTCTGAATTTTTCAGTATGAACAATATTACTGTCTCAGAGCTTAAATGGATCGTGTCTCCTCTAGCCTTCTTGCAGAAACAATGTGTGCTTCGCTTGTTCTCAGAAGGCCTTGATATGCCTGTTTAACCCTTTGAGTACCCTACATTAACGTCATGAGAGGCATAAGGTCTTAGAGATGACGTGTTAATGGGCAGGCACTGTAAATCCCTGGGGCACCAGGGAGATTAACCCACTTTCATCTTCACTGGAAAAAGAAATGGGTTTTTTTGTTTGTTGTTTTTTGTTTTTTCCCTTTTAGCAGACATAAAACTGAAATAAAAAGATTAAATTAAAATAATAGGAATTTAAAAGGAATCCAAAGCATGAAAGGAATATTTTCTACTTCATCTTGGTTTAAGAGTTGGACAGAGCATTTTCTCTCTAAAGATTTCAGTAAGGAAAACCTCTCCTTCTATAAAAATCTGCAAGGCTCATGTTGATGGAAATGCATAAAGTCCACTATAGTTTTCTTGAGAATGTAGGCACTTCAGATATTCTGAAAAGCTGCAGAGCCCTAGCTCACTTGCAGGCTCAAAGGGGTGGAACATTAAGTCCAGCTGGTTGGTGCAAGGATAAATGTACATAGCGTCTCAAATTGAGACTTGTCCAAAATGATTTAGGTGATTTAAGAATATTTACCTCTTCTAAATGGGCGTAAGTTTTATGTTCTGAATTTTCAACTCACATTATCAGTTTCTCTCAGCTACTGTTGAATAAATGTTGCTGAGAGAGTTGTGTGAAATGGCATAATTATTACTAAGGAAAATTTATTTTTTTGAATAAACACAAATGCACTCAATAAATGTTGCCATTATTATAGATTTTAAGGAAATTAAAATAAACCATTATCCAGAAAATATAACAAAAATCAGATAATCTGAGCATATAAAATAAATCTAAAAGCCTGATAGTATTAATGAAGTTCTTATGTGTAATATGAATTTCAAACATTTTCTCTCCTACAGAACTTCGCTGCTCAGTATGATCCATCTAAAGCAGCTGATTACGGCCATGGACCCATGGTAGGCAAACATTCTCCGTCATTCAACAACTTACATAGATATGTTTATTAAATGTTTCATTTGGATCCTTACTACATATCTTACATGTATCATAACTGACAACATAGTTTAAAATGTATGTGATGATCATATCAGAGTCTGAGTCAATATAAAGATTTTGCTGCCCTTTTGATGTAGGGCAATTGAAAATGTTTGCAGTACATTCTTAGATCTAGACCCTCTGCTGGTGTATCTCAGTGTAGTTCCTTTGACATCAGTGGAGCTATGCCGATATAGACCAGCTGACGATCCAACCC